CTTGTTTTTGGGCTCTAGGCTTTGCTAGAGAGTTTTGGGAGAGTTGGTCTTCCTCTCGAATTGAAGAACAATTGTATCTTTGATATTTTACTCCATCTTCTAGTGGAATACAAGTCTTGCATTGAGTTTTTCTCTCAGTTTTCCCTGGATTGTGCTGTTTTCCTGCTGTAAACAGCAGATTTCTGCTGTTTTCCTGCTGTGGACAGCGGTATTCTCGTTGTTTGATCACCGATTTGGGTTAGGGTTGCTTGCGAACTCAAGTATTACCTTAGGGTTACTTGTGAACGCAAGCATTTCCTATCAAATTGGTATCAGTAGCTCCTCAAAATCCCATAATTTGCCCCAAAACTATAAGTCCAAACTTCAGCAACAGTATGTTTCTGATTTTAGGTACACAACAAAATTAGATATCCCAATTTTTCTCTATGGGATATGACATTCAACAAACACGGAAGCACATGGCCGTACACAAGCACATGCCCATTATATTAGTGACTCTCACTCCCAATTCAAGGGCAAAACCTACAAGTTATAAATCAGCAAAAAACAAAGGATATTATATCTCTTGCTACAGTGCATCAAATCAATCAATATGAGAAACAGTACCAACAACTCTTAGCAATAGTAACAATCGATGGTCTTCCAAAAAGCAAATAATCAACCGTGAGAAGTTAACAGCAACCAAAAACAAATAATTGAACTAAGAAACCAGTGGAAAGACCGAATCAAAACAATGTAGGGAAGAACCACAAACTTTAAAGAACACAACACACTTTTAATGGGGAATAACACTATAGAAATGTGTAAAAGAAATCAAAAATCAAAATTATGAAAACAACTAAAAAGACAAAAGAATAATGGAGTTGCCTTCAATGCTTGTATTATAGTATTCTGATGAATATTAAACTTTAGATTTTTATCAAATTTGTCCAGCTTTTAAATAATTCAACTCTGGTATATAAGCATTCGATATTCATAAAAAAAAAAATTTAAGTATAACTCTTATGTGTAAAATAATTCAGAAATCTTCAAAAGTTGGTCATATCAATGCACAAGATACCTCTGATACCCACCATCAGTAGCAGACATAAATCACATAATCTCATTATTTAAAATAGCATCTTGAACCAGATTTGTAATAACTATCAAGTAGCTTGCTAGATGTGCATTCATGAAGGGAAAGAAAGAAGAATACAAGGTATTGATAATAAGTTCCTAAAGATAAATCAGATATATTGAAAATTGGACGAATACCAAAACTTTCTGGAATTTTCACCTTAAAAGTATTTGCCCAAATGAAATGTATGATTTTATGTGACCCAAAATTTCCAGCAATTAATTTCTTAGCATTCTTATCAGAAACATTTCTCCATTCAGATGAACCATTATCTGATCACCTAATTTTGAATTCTACATATCTCACACATCAGCAATAGTTTTATAGTTGGCAGAAGCAGCTGTCAATTTTTTATGAACATTTTAATGCAACTCATACATGTGTAATGTAAATAATTGGGCAAACTAATCAAACCAAGATTGAAAAGGAAGTTTGACAAGATCTATTGATTTTCTAGATTTAAACATTATTATAATTTCAAAAATATTAATACTTATACATTTATTGACAAATAAATTATATGCAAACTTAGTCATAAGCGATATAAAATCTTAACCATATGTTTACTCTTTAATCATATATAAATAAATCAACTAGACTCTTATTAACTAGCTCAACATCAATTTAAAGGAAATAATAAGCAATTGAAAATTCAATTGTGTTTCTCTCTTTTCTCCACTAAGTTTTATAAAAATAACTCATGAATTTTACATTCTTGTTAGATGCAATGATTTTAGATAATCCATGCAGTTTAAACATTTCGTTAACATATAATTTTGTTACATGATGCATAAAGAACTGTATAACATGAAATACAATAAGCCGTTTTCAAAAAAGTAAACAAACACTACAAAGATGGAATTATGTTTTCTTAAGGTACACGGTAATCCTATAACAAATTCATAACAATATTCTCACAAGAACGATAAGAAACAGGTAAGGTATTATGACGCCAAACATTATTTCTTTTTTTATCTATTTGATAAGTTACATTTGGTAAAACAATTCTCACATCACTTTTTAGACTTGGTCAATAGACTCAATAGCATCTATCCTCAGTCATGACCACAATTTATCCTGACCAACAAGTGATGTACACCATTCGCATGTAACTTTAAAGCAAGAAAATCTCTCAAAAATAATTCAAAAATGCATATAGATGAGTCCCCAACTCCCCATTAAAAGAAAGTCATCCTTAATTATTAAATTTTGTTAAACACATATGAGTCATTATTTATGTTCTAGTATATTGCATTTCAATCTTTACACTTGGCATAGATTTCGTTAATGTGATTAAAGTCAATTAATTTAATTTTCATTGTGTATTAAATGACAACAACCCTACTAAATTATGGCAGTACTGTTTTACAATTATAAATAATCTAGCTAACTTTGCTGACACATTTTTCAATTTTAATCCTTTTACTTCTAAATTCATATCCACCTAATCTAATTGGTAAAAGATGTGTTCCAAGAAGATTTGCACTTTTATTTAGCATAAAAAATTTAACGATTTCTCATCCGTTTCAGCTCAACCTATATGTTATTTAAATATTAGTATGTAGAAAAATATAAATTTATGTACCAAACCAATCAGTACGCCTCATAAAATATTTATTCTAAGATATTATTATTTTTTTGCTTTTCAGACAGTTCCTCTAAAATGTTGCCAGGACATTTTGCAATTACTTTAGGGGTTTGATGAAAAGTGAGTGAGAAGTATTTCTATCGTAGTGTTTTAGGAATTTTGATGTTTGGTTTGATTAAAAAGAAACGCAAAGTAAATTTTTGATGAATTCCAAATTTGCACTTCATTTTTCATGTATTCAAAGCTCGCCTATTTTTTTACTAAATTCCAAATAAACTACAAACTAATTATGCTATCGATGATAGCCGCCCGCCATCACCACCACTACTACTAGCCGCCGCCACCAACTAATAGACACTACCATTGTTGGCCTTTGCACTGCATTCCTTTTGCTTGAAACCAAATAAAAAATAATAATCTGCATTTGTTTAACAGTCATCCAAACTTCAAACATTTCAAATACATTGCATTCATTTAATATTATATTCCATTTTATTTTATATTTGTTTTAGCAAAACAAACAATCCCTTGGTCTTTTTCAAAAAGATTGTGGAATTCTTTGAACTTTTATTACAACAAGCCCAAGGCCATGTCCGATAGCTCCTGAGAAAGGCATTCCTAATAGGATCTATGCATTAGCAACATATATTAAAAACATAAAAAGCACTGAATATGAATTATCATTTTATTCAATGTAAAACAATTGATGTATCATTTTATTCAATGTAAAACAACTGATGAATCAAGAACTTTCCCAATAAATTCTTTGAGATGAATAAAGTGCAAAACCAGGGTCATCCTTTCCTCTATCTTTTCCTAACCTCTTTCATTTTTTATTAAGTTATTGATTGGTTAATGGAATTTCAATACAAAGTTTATTCGGTTAAAATCATGTAGATAATTTTTTTACAATCGTAAATTTGTTGACCCTTCAAAAAAATAAATTCTGAGTCATATACTTTACAATTTAAAGTTTGAATTCACCATATATTTTTTATTAATCAATGAACTTAAGCCATGTGCATTTCTAGCACATGCACTTATACTAGTTTCTTAAACGGCTTATGTAAATTAATTACTTGTACTGTGCAACTCAGCAGGTTGACCGATTACAGAAATTTGTATTTTATCACAAGGCAAATCTCATCAGGCATTCTACATTTCCTCAGTACCCTCATCCTTTTCCATGCCCTAGTATCTATACATAAAATCTTTCCAAGTAATTGTAAAGAAAAGTGCAACTCAAATCCATTCAGCTTCTCTAAAACCATGGCCAATCAATCTACAAGCTCCAATAGGCCAACACAACAAAAATATCAATCACTTCAGTTGGCAATATGTCCAACCCTTCCGAAGGAAGATTACTGAATAAACTCCCCATGTACAGGTTCTAAAAAAATTGATATAGAACATCTCTGACACAAGGACCACTTGGATAGGAGAACTTTACTAAATAGGCATCCAAACAATTCTAGGATCATATTTCACACTTCTTCTAAAGCCCGTTCTCATATCCATGCTAGATTTTTAAGGAAAGAAAACAGCCTACTTTTCCGCCAAAGAAAGAAATTATGTAGAATTAAAACTCCATTTTTATCTAAAAAAAACATATAAAATACAAAATTTCAAGCGATCAACATATCCTAAAACTACACAATATAGAAAGTACAAAATGAAAGACACTTCACAACCTAAGTTTCCTTCAATCCACAAACATACTATCATTCTTCCGGCTCTTAACTTCACACTACCAACGAGTTTTTGAAACGAATTCACACATCCAACTAGATTAAGTTGTCTCAACTTATTCCATATTCATAACCAATAGCCTTTCCTAACAAGCCTTCTACTCAAGCCAATTTTCCTCCCTCTAGGGCATGCAAGCTACTAAAGGATTTGATAGCCAGGAATCATTTTGTTAATCTAACTATATTAAGTACTAAATTTTTAATTGAACATTTATTACCTATTTTTTGTCAGAAGAGCTTAAAAAAGAAAAAAAAAACTTCTAAATTTGTTTTACCGGACTCATGAAGAATGTTCTAATTGCAATTATCCCAACACCAATTCTTTTAATCAATCACAAAATAGCTTCACATTCTAGAATGAGTACAAGTTATTGTTGCCTTATATGTCCTTCTATGCACAATATCAAATATCGTGCATGCATCAAACATTGACATTATATCATAATATGCTTTAAAGATATTTGACATAAATAAGATGAGATAAGCATAATGGTCAAAGAACAGATTCAATGCAAGTGCACAATGGAGCCAAAATAAGAGAAATTACCCAAATTGATAACACAACAACATATGAGGCGAACCACATGCTTTTGCTCTAGCAGATGAATAACCAACCGCTAATCGAGGCCGAACTCCCAAATAAGGTATTGAATTGCCTCCCAGGGGTATAATTGCCATCTATATAAGCTTTAGAGTAAAGTGCAACACTTCAGTTACATATTTGCTATAATATTCCATATTAAGAGCAAAAACAACTCTTCCAATATATATATATATATATATATATATGCTATAATATAGAAAGTGATGGATATTATGAAATTTGAAGCCTATAAATTAACAAAAGCAGACAACATAAGATGAATATTTATAAGAAGGAAACATAGAATTCTTCAGATTTACTATAGTATGAAAAGTAGTGCACATTATCTACAAAAAATGAAGCCAATAAGTTAATGAAATCATAGACAGCGCATAAACAAACACATAAAACACCATGCTTTGTTTTAAATGTTTAAGAAAACTTCAATGTTGACAACCATACTAAGCTTCTATACAATCATATGATATTTTTCATAACTCTATATTAGCACACAGGTCAATTTGAGCCATTGCCCCTATTTGGCTTATTTTGTTTTCATATTCCTTCATCACCTTTAATTTATATTAGCAATAAAATTTATCAATCAATTCATTTCCATTTTGTTCCATTGTCATTAAAATTCTTAATACTACCGAAATTCCCATTAGTCGACATCTATAATTTACACCCCAATTTAAACACAATGTAACATTTTACTAGCCCTTATATTGCCCATTCAAATTTACCGATGCTAGGAACTAAGTAAAAAATAAGTCTAGTAAATACATTATAATAGAATATATAGATGAATAAACCTTCTAAGCTTTACTTGAGCCTCATGAAATATAGGAGTTTCTGTAATGGAGCGGGTGCAACTTCCAATATATTTAACAAAATGAAGCAATGGAACTAAACTTTATATAATCAAACTTGATTTGAGCAATTGCTTAGCAAGGTTCCGATGGTAGAAGTACTTGTGTGAAACGTCAAATGGCAGATAAGCATAATTTAAGCACCAAAAGATTCATTCATACGTATTGCAAAACTTGTTAGAACAAATAAGATTCTAGCGTTAAGTAATGATGTCTATAAGATTTCATTGACATGAATTGATGGATAATGATCACAAAACCACTTCTAAATATATCTCATTCACAAGATGACCAGTCACATGGATGCATCCGTAAGTATTTCAAAGCTTACTAAAACAAATGTTTCCATTATAGGAATTATATTTAATGCATCCAAAGGAATTCCCTGCCTTGAATTAATGGATATTGCTTACAGAATCCTTCCAATTATATCTCATTGATCAGATATTCTAGAAATTTGATCTATAAACAAAAAGTAAAGTGCAACTGAGCAATAGCATGATTGATATTGAAATTGACTCAATATATTTTGACTATAGTTTTGATAAAATATTATCAAATGACTTGTTTTTGTTTGTGAAATGTCACGTTTTAATCTGTATGCATAAACTATTTCTATCTATAAGACAACGACTGCATTTGAATTTACTGATATCACCTTTTTATCATTTCTTCTTTGTCAGCATAAAATCAACAGCAACAAGTTTCTTCAGTATATCCTCATCCAAATCTCCATAAAAATCCTCTTTGCAGTGGCAAATAAAAGAAGATGGAAGAAAAATGAGATCACAGGAGTGTCCTAAAGGATGTGAAATTCAAAAGGGCCTGCTCAGTGTGGTGGGAATACAAGGGTATTCTGTTTCTAACATAAGCTTTCTTTCTTCCATGGCACAGATAGCTCATCACAGCGATCCATGCCCCAGCCTAGCTAGAAAAAGGAAAATGTTTGTGCTTAAGAACCTCAATTATTGCACCTATTTTCAATTACTTAAAAAATTAATAAGTCATGAATAGAGAGGGATGAATCATGAGGTAGTCGGGTTTGTAATGGTTGGTGTGGTCCAACCCTCAGATTAGAGTGTCAGCAAATCTAGTAATGTTATCAGTCCTCCAAAACAGGGGAGAACAATAAAAGAAGAGACGAATAAATAAGGATGAAAACGATGACCGTGAACAACATCACAATTACTAAAATAGCTAAATCAGCAATTTGAGCAATAACAAGATTACTATTGGAATTGACTAAATGTATTTAGATGTTTGTGCAACATGCATTGCACTAGATTTAAACAAGCATTGCACAAGATCTAAATGCTTAAATTATCCATATTTGATCAAATGAAGGTCAGACAAACCAAATCACAACTTACTTACATTTATTCAAGTGTTCCTTGCGAGCTTGATGATATGCATCAATCCATGTGCTTGTCTTAAGAATTGAGAGTGCCTAGGGCATCATGAGGATGACTCCCACCACACACAAAATTAAGGTTCTAGTTGGCATCATCTTGAAAACCAACATCATGCTATCTTATTTATGAAGTTTTTATGGGCTTCTTCTAATTGAGAGGGTACTTGAGCTTTGAAAATGACAAGTGAACATCCTATATTGTACACCAATTTTTTCTGGATTATTGTGTTTGGTGGAATATGTTCTATATCCTCTATACCATACAGAATCAAGAGGGAAAATTATAGAAATTGACTCTATACTTTGATGCTTAGTGTGCAATGAATTGCATAAGATCTATTACCCAAAATATACCCTTATTTGATCAAATAGATATGGGTAGACCACGTCACAACATGCATATCTCAACCAATGTTTTTGACAAGGCAAGTAGATTAATGTGGTGCCTTGATCTAAAAGATTATATATTAGGGCTCAAGACATCTCAAAATCTAGGCCTTATGTGAATCATAATGCTAACTTATTGGGTGTATGCATGGATTATAAAATCCTATCTCAATATATATGCTTCGGATGGCAAGAGGTAAAATTTGAGACCTCTTATCTTATGTGAAGGGCTTGATGGCTATATGTTGATCTCTCAAATAAGGTTGCAAGCATGAAGGCTTACCGAACATACCCTCTCAACTAGGGTTGGGTGAGGAACCACATGACAAAGACATCCTCTTAGTTAAAGTTTCTTGGAGTGTGACCATATAAGAACTCTATCAGTTAAGGTTTTTCCACTTGATTGATAAACAACGATAGGAAGACTTTAGCACTGACTAATAGTAGCAAGAATGGTTTTTGGCCACCATTATCATCTTGGAGATTGGCATTATACTATGAAGTAAACCAATTAAGATCTTTGTGGTTCTTAATGATTAATAGCTAGTGAACTTGGGTTTTGGAAAGAGCCAATAAGTATCATTTATTAGACATAATTTTTAATAGCTATTTTCTAAGTGGATCGGGCCTTTTCTCCTCTTCCATAGGCAAGGGCTTTGAACAAGCTAAAACAAGTAAATCTCGGTGTCTCGTGCTCTCTATGTTGTATGATGTTTTTTGTATTACGTTTTAGTGTATCGTAACACAATCATATAGGTAATGTAATTCTGCATTTGAGTTTCGGTGTTTCATTATAACAACTACAACAATAGCAATAGCATATCAACATCAGCAAAAAATATGAAAACAAAAAAAAATTACATCATAGGAATAGTAACATATCAATAAAGCACTGGCAACAAGTATGGTGACCCAATAGGATAAGGAGACGAAACAAGATGCATATTTTTTAACTTAACAAAATCAATTTCAAAATGAGAAGTGGTGATTCAAAATCACAACAAACCATAGATACTAGCATTTATTCTGTCAATTTTATTGTCGATTAATAAAGATAGTCCTTTTAATTACTTTTAATATTTTAACCTTTTATGTAAAAGGACCGTCTTCTATTTTAAGTGTTCCTTCATATTGTATTCCAAAATATACTTTGATTATTGAATAAAAATGATGATTATCTTTCTAAATCCTAGTGTCTATCATTGACTTGCACCTCCCTATCTCCCCTTTCTTTCAAAGTCTCTCACTTGGCCATTGACTTGCACCTCCCTCTCTCTCTCTCTCTCTCTATTGCAATAACCAAAAAAGTAAAGCTCAAATCCTCAATTACTACCCATAAATGTTATCAAAGCTATGTAAGATATTATGAAGAAGCCTTCACTTCTTCCTTATGAGGCCTTCTACGACAAGGGTACTTCCTCCAAATCATCTTAATTCTCAACTTCCAAGAATTTTACCACCTCCTCTTATAAATCGCTATTTTCCTAAAAATTGAAACTTCAACCCTATTTTCACTATGTTGTGGTTTACTCTTGATATTATTAATTATCTTCAATATGAGTCTAGTTGTTTGCTATTTTATGCATGTCACTCTTATTCTTTTGCTATGCATCCTACCACCACCTCCATCAACCTCTTACCTTAAGAATAATACCTCCCACTACACCCAAGGCTTTCTCAGTACCAACAACCTCTCAACTTAGCGCACCCAAGCCCTAAGTAATCCTGTCAAGGTTCAGCCCCCTCTTCTCCCACTATGGATAGATTACTTTCAAATATCCTTCCTAAAGCCCATAAATCTCTTTCAATTAACTCTAGCAAAATCTTTACATAGTTGTGAAAGTTGATATTTCTATGACATATCACACAAAATCTTTTCAAAACATATAAAATCAAATAATTCCTATAAATCCATGTCATAACATTTCATGAACACCTTTTCCAAACCTTTCATAATACATTTATTCCAACGCATATCACTTCCATTTCTTTTCATGCCTCCAATTTTCCATAATATCCTATCTCCACTTAGCACCATTTACATTTCATGTCTTCAATATTCCATAGTATCTTATTTCCACTTATCATCTAAAACTTCTTGTATTTGCTACAAATTGATGCCACCTCTCCTCGACTTTTTTCCTAAGTAGAGCTACCCTATTAATCCCCTCTTAATATGCCATAATATTTTGCATTCCATAGTAGCAAAAGCTCATTATTCTCCTTCTATAGCAGTAACAGCAAAATGCCCCCAATTAACAAGCCTATATCTCACTAATAAAGAATTCTTCTAACAGATTTCCTAAAATATATGAGCCTATTTAGCATTACCACATTAAAAAAACAAATATATCCAGCATATTCAGACCATTTATGCTCATTAGCAACCAAAAACCACCAAGAACATGCATAAACCGTTGTTCCAACAGCTCAAAACCCTCCTACTTACTTGCAAAAATGTCGTAGCAGAAAATCTAATATTGGACGTTGAAACCCATTATTGTTGTTGCAGTTACATTCCATTTTCTCTTCCTAAATTATAATCTCATATGCTTTTGTTTCCTATTGTTGCAATCCAAAAAGGTTAGTTTCTATCCTGCGTCCCATCAACAAGAACCAACACCTATTGACCATAGGAAAATCCTACAAAATAGTTCAAAGAAGCACTTTAACAACAACCCAACCCTCTGTCATCCATTTCAAATATGTTACATAAGTTCTATAAAATATGCTATAAAATCACATAATCAAAGGCAAACAAAATATGACTAACTATGTTTACTATAGATGTTCATCATCATATTAGAATCCTAGTTTGCATGAAATCAATAAATAAGTTAAAAATATTAAGATAATTATGATTGTCAATCTTCAATTAAACCAAATCCCATATCCTAACATCAACACAGAAACGGGATAGGAGAGAAGCACTTGCCATAAACAACATAATTTGAATGAATTAAAATCACATGTTACATCCATCTCATTAATCCTACAAGTACAACCAGCTTCATAGGATCAATATCATATGTAATGGTTGTTTGATCCCTTCCATTATAGGGATGGCTCTTTTTATTATGTCGATGAGCCTATATATGTGATAGATTTAATATTGATGATGACTATTAATTGCATGAATATGACGTGTGATGCATGTTTAAGCTTGAGCTTGCAAAACTTCAACAACAAGTCTTTATCCCACCATGTAGGGTTAGCTACATAAATTTTTTTCTACCTTGTGTCATGTTAATACTCAAATTCTCATTTAAATCTAATTAAAAAATGTCATTTCTAATATTTTAACCAAATATTTTTAGGTCTACCTCTACCTTTCTTAACATAGGTCCAATCTAATACATCTACTCTTCTAACCAGGTCATCGAAAGGTCAACATTTTATGTGTCCAAACCATCTAAGGAGACTCTCTCAAATCATATTTGCCACTAGTGAAGCCACTCATCCACCTGAGCATCCTCATCTCTACAACACCTAACTTAATTTATGCTTCTCTTTTAATGGCCAATATTCTGCGCCATAAAGCATTGCAAGCACCTCCATCTTATATAATTTTCCCTGCATAACTTGAATGAAAGCAACAAATAATTGTTAATTGTTGTTCGCTTGCCTATTAAGACTCCATTGACGTCACTAGTACATGTTGATTACATTGGCTTCATCCTACCATTGTTACCACCTATTGTCTATAATTTGTTAATTAGCTCATATGCAATAGTTGTGTAATATATGTTAGCATCATAAGACAAGGCCTTCCGATCTAATTACTAAAGCTCATTTTGGAGAGACCTAGGTATAAGTCAATTACACCTCCTCTCCAGCCAGGAACACCTCTTTAATATTTTAGATAATGGTTTTTTTTTTTTTTGTACTATGGGGAAATGATGCAAAATAATTACAAATAATTGATCCTTCTCAGCTCAAATCATTAAAATAACCATGGATTATAAGTGCTTATTGATGAAGGTTTGCTATGTGTCATTTAATACGGACAATAATGTTCTTATTTGAATTTTTTTATGTTCTAATCTTTATGTAACAAGATCGTCCTTCATAAAAAGGGTGCTTTGGAGTTGTATTTTGAAATATGCATTGATTATTGAAAACTATGATGACTGCTCTCTCCAACTGCTAGCTTCTCTCTCTCTCTCTCCCTCCTCTTCTACCTTTCAACCCCTCTTTCCAAGTTGTTCCCTCTCTCCTCTATCTTTGGGCTTGTCTCTCCAAATCATTACCTCTCTACCTTGCACTTGGAGATCCTACTTTTCCTCTATTGCGGAGGCCCTTCACTCCCTTTCTGTTCAATTCTGCATTCTACAAGCGTTTATCTGCAATCGAAGCTGCATTTCAAGTGATTCTCCATCAAATTAGCCATAGAAAAACATCGTTCTCCTTACAGCTACATCATAAATTACATATAAAAATGAGCATCGCTGAACCTCCCACTTAGCAGCCTAAATTAACCATTCTCCTCTAGAATATACACAAGAACACCGAGTTTAACAATGCAAATTCTAAGACAAGTGCTCAGGAAGCGCCCATCAAATGCAATTCTAATAAGGACGCATGACCTTAAAAACATATATCAATCCTAAAGTCTCAACTTAATCCATGAAATGACTAAAATACACCCCCCACAGCCCAGAGGCACACCAGGTAGCTTTTGAACAGTGCAAGTGCAAGTGCAAGAAGAGTGGACCTTAAGCGTCGAGGGCAGGGCATAGGACAAGAAGGAAGAGAACGAGAAGAAAAAGGAAAAAACATTCAATAAGAATGGTATGCAGATGCGAGAAAGTCGCAGGAGTGGAGAACTAACCTTCCCTGGCGAAGCCCAACCTTCCGATTTGAGGAGGCGATGCTACTGGAACGAGGGCTTGCGATAACCAGATAAGAGAGACGACAGGGCTTGTAAAGACTAAAGAACGACGCATTATATATGGGTAATTATTTATTTTTAGAAAGTAGTTTTTAGGGTAATTAAAAATAAAAATTCCTCTTTCTACTCATTAAATAATTATTTTCACAATCAATTTATATACAATATTAAAAAACTGTGTTGGTAGATCACTTTTGTCGTATATGCCCAATATTACCCTTCTTTGTACCAATATTATACTTCTTGCATTATATGCCCAATATTTTTTCTTGATAATTAATATGCTTTGTACCAACTTATTATTAATTATTATAATTAAACCTAATATAATCACCACTCTATAACAAATATTTTGTTTGAGACAATTTTTTTATTATTTTCTAAAGCAGATAAGATACTACATATTAAAGTATCAGTATACATATTAGATAAAAAATTGTATATAAATAAGGCCTAGAACTTTTAATATAGATTAAATAAAATAAATATATGATGAATTTTATACATATAATTATGAATTTCGCATCCCATGTTAAGCCGATGATCATGATTGGGTCATCCATATTATACTTGATGGTTTTCTCTTTCCCCTGAACAAAATAATTTTATAGCATCTTAATATACTATACAACAAAATCATGAACTTTATGATTATTGTGACATTTCAAAATCTAATTAGGAAGAATTGTCTATTTTAAATCTTCTCATCATTTATTACAGCCACTAATAATCATCCATATTAAAGCAACAGAAATATATTTCACTTATACAATATAAACACCAACATACATTTCTATCATGAGTTACCTATCTCAAAATTGTTTTGGGATGAGCACGTTTAACTGCAGAGTTTTTTAACAGAAATTCCGACCATTATACAAAAAGGCGCCTCGATGTTTAAGAGTTTTGCTTCTTTTACTTAAGGGGTTTTGCAACGTATGTATAGAACATGCATGCAATAGGAAGGTCTCCACCAACATTGCTTCCTTGCCATTTGCCAAAGGGTCATATGACTTCTCCCTTGTCATCCTCTTTGCACAAGTAGCCCATCCATGCGGTTAGATTATAAAGAAGCATGTCTTTCATTCAATTTGTTAAACTCAATATAATATGCTTAGAGTACATATAAATTATAAAGACCTTAATCTCACAAGTAATTTATAATGAATGATTGTTCTTCGTGAAAAAAGTATTTTGATCTACAAAGTGATAGTTATTATTACTATTATTTAACCATGCTAAACTCAACGAACAAGCATTCTTTAACTTTTTGATCAATTTTATATCAAAACTTTTATCAATAAACAACTTATAATTGTAGCATTGAGAGAATGAAATAATTTATTTTGTTTGCTAATCAAGGGCTTCCTTTATTTGATTAATATTGAGCTACATATAAATTGTTGTCATTGGCTCTTTGTTTACCCTAGCCCATATGAGTACATTGAACAAACCCACTGATACATCTAGCTAGTTACCTTTCTAATTAGGGGAGGATATGATATAGGCCATCCATCATTTACATTAATTGAAAGATTTTAATAAAAATAATATAGTACCACATTATAACCTATAAAATGATAATTATTCTATATATTTGAACATTTAATATAAAAAAAAACTACTTTAGAAAATTTTAAAGCTCTACCCATCTCTGTGAGGGTTACATTATTATTTTTTGTGTTCTCCTAATTATTATACAGTATCATCTTTAGATTGCTTAGTGCCTCATCTTTCGTAAAAGGAATGTCTAGATTTCTTTTAATAATTTATCAACTTTAGGTTTTTCAATCCACCACCTTTTAGAATAAGGATTATCCCAACCACCTGTAGTCAAATGTAGATTCTATATTATCTAACCCCCTTCCTATTTGAAGATTAATTATTCCTACCTCACTTAATTACTTGTCCACTCTAAATTGCTCAATCCCTCTCTTTTAGGAGAGGAATTATCTTAATTATACTTAATCACCTATTAACTTTACTCATTTAGTTCTCACACTTCTTATAAGAGGTTGAGCAAACTCAAATTTTCATTATTCTTGATCATTCTTCCCCCTCCCCCCACCCTTATAGTTAAATAGTGAATTTTTTTTACGCACTCGATTGACCCATTAAACTCCTTTGGAGTCCTCTCACCGCCACAACAAAAATTTATTCATGATTTAGATCTTTGACAATATTTTGAAGCATTCTCTAATTTTGAGTGAGGGTCATCCATTGTACTTCAATATTATATATAGAGAAACAATTTTAATGAGGCTAGATTCTATGTTTTTTTTTTCTATTTTGAGTTTCGATGCAAAAAATAATAATGTATTCCATTTTACTTTTCAAATATATGCAAATTATCATTGAAATCTAAGGATATATCCATGTGCTTGTTGGCATGATTTATAATTTGTAATCATTTTGTAATATTTATGGGGAATATATAATATATATTCTAATTGCATAAATATTTTTAACATTTTAACATTGAATAGGCATGCTACACTTAACATAGGGGCACCTCACTCTAACTCTAACTGGTCCTAGAACAAGTCTTTAAATTAGATACATCACAATGAAACTTCTATCCCACCTTTTTAAACATAACACACTTGTAGGAGTTTTGTTGGTGAGGGTGCTTTGATAATCATTCACAAGATGTTTGTATTTTATTCACTATGGAGTCTCAACTTCGGGTTAATGTAACATCTGATGGTGGGATAAATGAAGTGAGAATGTTGAGGGCTTATTGATTATGGTGTCACTTGGATGTGGAGGGATTATTTGGGAGTGGCTCTTTATGGAGTATGGAAGATTTTATATGTGGAGGAAATGTACTATGGTGACTTTGAAGAGGGAAGATGGGATACTTGAGATATCCTAACAAGGAGGATTGAAGGCTTTGGAAAATGCTTTTAAAGTTGGAGGAGAATATGTGATGAGAATTTTGGAGGATATTGGGTCATATTAATGTGCTTAAATAAAGAGCAATTAGTTCTTAGGATGCAAATAAAAAGTGGGATTTTATTTTCAAATTTGGTGAAGCCTTCCTGAAGTATGAGAGATTTCATATATGGAGGGAATGTATTATGATAACTTTAGAGAGAGAGGGGAGAGGGGACACCTAAGAGATCCCAATGAAGCCTTTGACTTGCAAGGAGGATTAAAGTCTTTGGGAAATGCTTTTAAAGTTGTAAGGGAATGCATGATGAGTGTTTTGGAGGTGGAGAACAATACTAGGTCATATCGAGGGGCTTAAATAAAGATATATTAGTTCTTAGTTTGTAGTAAAGGAAAAAAGGAGAGGCATGAATTATTGTTCTTGCCCAGGAAAAAGGATATGAAAACGAGGAGTGATGATAATGAAGTTTTATGAGATGAAATGGAATGAAGTTGTAGAAAATTAGAAAAAATGAATAATAAAAAGTGAATTATCACCAAATAATTGAGGTGGTCTTGTCGATCAAGCCTCTGACCAAAATATTCAAGCAAAATCCAAGAAAAAGAATTCTTCTTCAATTCATTGATTTAGAACATGATCATTATTATGTCATTTTCTTCCATTTCTTTCATATATTTTGAGAAGAATAAAATATGAAACTTTTAATAGAGTATTCATGTGAGAATATAGGGAATAAAACCTAAAAAATATCAAAACTAGTTAAACCTATAAATATTCATAAAAATTGTAATGAAAGATTTTATATTTTAACAAAATAAAATCTTATATATAGATAATGATATTGAATCTCCAAAAGGAACATTATTCCAAAGGTCAATTATGTCTTGAGTGATACCCAATAATACTCTCGATAAAAAATAATATTGTATTACAAATATATTTAGCAAAGCTTTTGAAGGATTTTATCACCAAAATATTTCTCAATATGAATGCATGGTGATGCCCAATAATATTCTTGATAAAAAATCAATATTATGTTTCAAACCTATTTAGGCAAGTTGTCAAAAGATTTTAACACGAAAGTATTTCTTAGTATGAATGAATGAGTTAAGGAATTCTGAAAAAAGACAAATAATACTCGATAAATATTTAATGGATCAATCATCATAGGTCGCATAATCTAAATCTAATTAGCAATGAAGATAATCGACCAAACTTAGCTAATGATTCTTTGTCAATAACAAAGTACAACACCATCTACAAATAATTTCTAAACTCAAATCCAAATAGAGGATATATAATTCTTGGATTTAATAAAGTAGATGAGAAGGAAATATAAGGCTTACATCTCTTATATAATAAGGATTTGCCTATGAAGAAGAAAGATAGGGACATTCTAACCATATGAGTTCAATTATCTAAACTAGACTTACAATCTCATATACATCAAGTTTGCCACTAAATTGTCTAAGTCATTCTAAATCTTCACCTAAGTGAGTATAATTAGATCATGAATACAACTAAGGCTTTGTTTTGGACTACTTTATTGCTGCTTCTTAAAGCAGCTTTCTTGTACAAATATTTTAATTTTTGTACTGAAACGTTGTTTTAAAAATCAGCAAAAAAGTTGTTTCAAACGAAGTCTAAGTTTAACAAAGCAATCATTCTCTATGAGATATATATGATACAAAATTATGCCATTAAGTGAGAAGACTTTATTACGATACGTGAGAGTTTAAGTTATGATATCTTTTTGCAAATCATTCCTAGTTCATTATTTATAACTAATTCTATGTTGTTAAAATATATAGACAACATCACATATTACCTATATTTTCACATAAATATAAGTAGACCATATTCATTTATTTGCAAAGACCATGTGATAATGATCTATTTTTTTATGATGATAATTTTGTATTAGTCTAAATTTATATTTATTTTCATTTTAGAAAGCTTTATGAAAAACATATATTCTTTAGAGACTAGCATTGCCAATAAGTTCGAGACAAATAACTCATCATTAAAATACTCATAAAATCACCTAAGTGAAGTAATATAATAAAAAAATAAAAGAATATGAATGTCTTAATGTAGCTGATTTCTATAATACACTCCACTAAAAAGGAATATATAATTAATTGGGCTCTATATAAATACAAATTAATCGTAGTTCAACACAAATATCAAAATATGCATCTAAGATATAAGATATGAATCCGTGCTACTCCTTGTTTTTTTTTTTGGATATTTATATCAATTAAATCATATTTATATATACATTACATACGCAAGCTTCGAATCAAAGATCTCTTGGTTGATAGTCTAAACTTACAACTAACAGATCATGGTGTACTTCTTGTCTAATTTGGAATTTAGAGATATTTTGAATGTACTTGCTAGTCCGTTGGTTAAAGACTTTGACTATTAATCAAGAGGTTTTAAAGTATATGAATTTATTTTAATGACTCAAATATAAAAAAAAAAACTTGCTAAATACTTATTCAGCTGCGAATACACTTTATTTAGCACAGGATATTTTTAATTGCTTGGAGTTGCTTTAAAAATTAGTCAAGTTAGATCTTAGATATCCTTTTTTTTTTTTGGACATTTAGGTCATTTAAGACAAACTCACACACACAACACATACACATAAACTCGAACCTTAGACCTCTTAGTTGGAAGCCTAAGCTCTCAACTCCAAGGAAAGTTGTGTAGATCTTAGATATCCTGGAGCAAATCCAATGCTCTCGAACTCTTTCTTAATTATATTTCGAGCATCACTGCACATAAGATATTTCTCTTCCACGCGCTACCGACTCTCGAAAATTCACGTGGCAACATAACTGCCTAGAGTTCTTAGGCAATATGGTCATTTCACAGTCGGAGAGATATAATTTCCAATACACAAAATCTTACACTGAAGGGCTGCATAATTTTCCAAACTGCAGCTTGCGAAGTTGGAATTTTCGACCGAAGGCTTCTTCTCCGATGGCTGGGAAAACCATGCGGGCCGTTCAGTACGGCGGTTATGGCGGTGGTTTTGCCGCATTAAAGGTAAGAATAGCCTCTTCAACGGTTATTTTGGAAGCTCCTTTGATTTGTTTTCTGTAAAACTGTTCCATGGGCTTAGTAGGTTATTGTTAGATAGAAAGGGATACGCAAGATTGGGGAGGTCTTCACGAATTGTATTGTATGTTTGTGCTTTTGTTATTTAGCTGAAATATTGACTAAATCCCACCTAAATCTACCAAATGGCCCTGTAGTGTTTGCATATTCAAAGCTTATTGCTTGATATCAAGAGGTTAGAAGAAAGACGGTCTTCTTAGATGTTTCTCATGTGATTGGATTGAGTTATTGTATTAGAATTTTGGTTGTTTGATAAAAGCATGGTAAATATGTTTGGATTATTATTTTACTATTATCTTTTTCTTCTTTAATGAAGCCTAAACCACAACAGAGTTTCATCAAGCACATTTTAAAAAAGAATTGATGCTTTTATTTTAAATATGCATTGCCTTAGAATGAATGACATGATTTCTTGCCAACTTTAAAGCATTCTTGCTGTCATCGAGAATTGAAATAGAGTTTTAATCTTTTTAATCGACTTAGACTCGCAACCTAAATCCAATGCATTCTTGAGCTACCATTGAACCCTCCTTACTTCATATATTCTATTTCATTTAAAGAGAGTGAAGTTGAATGCTTGTTATACTATGATATAGCTATGGAGCCCATCAAACAAATCATAATAGAACTTTAGTACATCCAAAGCAACACCTAAGTCGGCTTTGGGAAAGCCAGTCAAGTAATTTTGAACATCAAACTTGAAAAATAAATGCTATAAGAGCCCATATATTTTAGTATTCTCTTGGCACAATCTAGACGTGTTTCTCTGGTGATTGCATGGTCGACTAACACACCCATTGTTAAATAGTGAAATAGACTAATAGGAGCATTAAATTGTTGATGATTATAAAGAAATTTCTCTTCTTCACGTTGATGTTTGAAATTGGCATCAAAAGGAGTGGAACAAATCTTACCTTTGCTGATATTGATTTTTCAACCATCATTTAGTACAACCTATTTCAGATAGAAGAACTCCTTGTTATTCTTGTCTACCTCCCATCCAAGAAAATGAAGTTAAATCAAGTATGACATTCCAAAGTGAATATAGAGTTTAGATCAAAGCTTAGAAATCTCTACATTATCATTGTTGCATGGATGAAATTATTGTTTCATATATTCAAAATAATATACTTATTTTTCACAAATGAAAAAAAAAAAAAACTATTGATTTAAGTGTGGGAATTTAATTATGTATTCAAATTCAATGAGTGAATTGCTAGGGACTTAAGGCTAGTAAGTTACTCTTGTGTGGGAAGTGTATATACATGTACTTTTGAACTCCATTTTATCCTCCTAGGAATGTCATCATTCACCTCTCATTTTGATTTCAATGTCATAATCTTTAAATAGTAAATCAAAACAGTTCTTTTCTTTAACATCATTAAAACTAGTGATATACAATGTATTCAAGGATTTTTATGATTATATAATCAGTAATTATAACTTAGAAGCATCAAAGTTTTCTCAATGATGACTTTGATTTCAGAAGAAAATAATTAGGATTTCAAAGTGTAGAGGTTTTTAAATGATATGGAATTCAATACATTACGTACTTGACTTTTAAGAGGGCCTATGTATGCCATCTAATCATCCATGTATTCTTCACTTGCATAAAATCTCTTATTGTCACAGAACTCATCTACATATTCTTGTTTTCCTGAGCATTTACTTAGGCAGCAGATTGTTGGAGTAGCATGGGTCTGGATCTTTGAGAATGCTGCTTCCTCAAGCTATAGGTTGACGCAATCCTTATGCATCTAGCTTCCATTTAGAATTGCTTAACCACTAAATACAGAATCCTTGAGCTGGTACCAAGTTTTTTCTTATGAAGCAAAAGCCTCCTGGAACGATGCTTTGAAGCAACTCCTTCTTCACTTAGATATCTTCATGTGCCTCTTAATCCTTGAGCCTTGATCTTTGTTTAAGTACTGATATGCAATTCACTTATCAATGATGCAACCTTCCATTGAGGGATAACTTGGTTAGGGCACTTGTTTTTAATAGCTGTGTCAGTCTGAACTTCTGTCAATGCTGCCTGTGCAAAATGATGCATGCACTTATTTGAGTCATTGTGGATATATTACAGATGGTGATGAGAGGCAAAAAAGTTTCTACAATTGGCAAAGTATTTGTGGTGACGATCATTGATAACAGTCTGGCTTATGGGCCTAAGGGGTCCCTTCTCTTTTCTCTCTTGCACTTCTTTCTGAAAATTTTGAATCTGTTAAAATACTTCTTGTTGCTGTAATATCAATATTAGACTGGTTGGAAGAAAACGATATTATTTATAAACGCATTGTAATATGACTTTTCAGATTTTAAGCTTTCTTTTGAATTTTCTTTGTTATAAACTTTTGATCTCCATTGTGAAACGTTATAAGATGGCCATATTTTTATTTACAGGTTTCAAAATTTAGGGCTTGATTACAACTATCCATTTATGATTGTATCTATTAATTCAATTTTGTGCTGCAGGAGGTCATACAAGTCAAGCTAGGAACTATAGAAGGTCGACTGACATGCCCCTTTAACCGAGAGCTTCCAAGCCATTGCTACTGCTTGCACCTTAGATGTTTTAAAGCTTGGCCTGGGGCACATTCCTAGTTAGATGATAATAACCAAGTAATTGGTGCCGTGTTAGCATAACTAGCCAATACTAAATTCAGCATGGGAGAAAGCCCGTAGCAATTGCTTCAGGGGACAGTATGAACTTGTAGACATGTGAAGGACCTGCATAAGTAATTGCTTCAGAGGATGGTGGGTACTTGTAGGCATCTTAAGGACCTGCATAAGTTATTCTGGCAACAACTCTGCCCAAAATGGTGCCAAAATTAACAAATGGAAATAAATAAATAAATAAATAAATAAATAAAACGATTTCCTTAGGGGACCTGGCAATGGAAAGGAAACACACATTTATTGTGTGTTCCAGATTTATAGAAATAATAAGGTTTATTTATATAAATTAAAATTTTAGCCTTGGCACAGCCTTCTGTTGGTTTTGTTAAATATTTTGTTATTGATCAGCCAACCCATGCACATCAACTTCATCAATGACTCAATTAATTATTGATTGCAGCATGTAGAGGTCCCAATTCCTTCACCAAAGAAAGATGAGGTCTTGCTTAAACTGGAGGCGGCTAGCATAAATCCTGCTGATTGGAGGATACAGAAAGGGATTTTTCGACCGTTTATTCCGGCCAAATTTCCATTTATACCAGGTAAAAGATATCTTTCTGCAAATTTCCATCAGTGAAGCATATGTCATATTGAGGAAAGAAAATTGATCTTAAGATAAATTTCCTTTATATGAAAACTATTAAATTATGTTAAGATACACTTATGATTGTTCTTTAATCAAGTCAACAATGCTGCAAGTTGAATTTGAGTTTTTTTCCCTGGAGTTCATGTTCAATTTTTTTTTCAAAAGTTATCTCAGTATAAAAATATGCGTAATTGATATGCTCACTGTCTGTTAAACTTCTTTTAGAGATAATAACCAGTGAGGATTTTGTTGTGGTTGGAAATCAACAGCACTCCTTAACTTTGCGTGGGATTTTGGCTATTGATGACTGTTTATTAAAACTCACATAATCCCGCCAGTGCTAAGGAGTTTTTATAAGCATATGATGAAGACTTTAGAATCAATGTCCGCAACCTTGATCATTTATGTTAGTATTAATTCTTATTTTTTGCTTGCTAAAGTGACTTTTATGAAGATTTGCTTATCTTCACTAACGTTGACAGCAAGTTTATTTTGGTACGCTCTTTTTATTATATATATATATATATATATATTTCAATTTGAGTTATTTGTGAATATTCTTTTGATGAAATGCCTATAAAGACGAGATGCTTCCTATATTTTTTTACTATAGGTTGCATTCTTGAGTTGTTCACAGTCGCACTACATAGCAATAGAGATTGGAGATTGGGAGTTGGGGGAGGGGCTATGCTTTATTTGTGAGGGGTGGCGGTTGAGGATGAACTGAAGCAGAAGACTCAAAGTGAACGCTGAAGCACCAAAGATTGACTTTACCCTAAACCCCGCCTAAAGAAAAATGCAAAACAACAAAGAAAATGAAAAGCTAATTCCCTGAAGGCTCGAGTAAAATAACTTGAAATTCAAATGCTTGAATGAGTGGCAAGGTGTGAATGAGCGTGTTTATAAGGTGTATCCACACTTAAATAGGCCAGCCTAAATAAAATTTATTAAATTATTTATTTAGGGGGATTTACACATGCCATGCAATTCTTATTTATATATTTAACGATGACACTTATATCTTATTATATAGCATTTAAATTTTCAAATCATCTAAAAATATCACTAATATTAATTTTTCTAAAGTGAAATACATCTTTTCCTGCATTTATTTTGATGTGGTTGAGATTTTAAAATATCATATAAGGAAATGTTAAAATTTTGGTGTTAGATATGTAAATTCATAGGAATTATGTGGTATGCATGTAAATCCCCCTTTTATTTATATTTAGTTTAATATTATTTAGGTTGGGTTGGTTTATGCCCGCTAATGTTTGGTTTACTCAGTTACTAGTGATAATATGGTCAGGCCGGCCCAATTGGTAGCCCTAGTTTTAGTGTGTTCAATGGATACATCTAGCTCAAAAGGGTGGGTCCAAACAGATGAGATAGGTTTCCCTCAAAGAAGAGAGAAGATTCTGGAGTTTGGATTCAAATTTTAGTATGTCTTTGCTGTAGATCCAAACAAATTTTAGTCTGCCTTTGCAAAAAAATAGTTCAGATTTTAGAGTTCAGATGTAGTGGGAGGGGCTAACGGGAAGTTAGATCCTATTATAGGCTGCTGCAAATTGTATTGTGATCTAGAAGTCAAGTTCTTTTGTTACAGGAATTATGGATAAGTTCAAGTAAGGGCTTCTTGTCCTTCAAATTGATAACCCCAATACTTCTTTAATTTTAAATACTTTATTCATTTATGCAACTGAAGGAATCTTCGTTTGTTTATTCACATGCCCCATTCCAAAAGATGTTTTTCTCTATTCATTATCAATAATTTTTACTACCCAGGTAATCTACCTAATCTTTCTCCTAGGAACAATATTTTTTCCAGCTGGATAAAAAATCTTCTCGACTTAACACATAATGGACTTTTTCCCCCACGAGAGATTATTCTGTGCGGACATTGGACGGAAAAACCATCCGGTTTTGCCTCTGTGAACGGTAAAAGTGCAGCATGAATGCGTTTTTTTTATTCACAGAGACAAATCGGACGGTTCTCCTGTCCGGTGTCCGCGCACAGAATAATTCATCTTCCCCCCATACAGAACCGTCTTTAAAGCGTCGACCTTTTTTTTTCTTTTTTTCATGAACACAATCTCTTAGTTAATGTTTTGCTAGAATCTTTACAGAACATTTAATTAAGCTTTACATGTATAAAGTCAAATCTGGGTCTACGATCCTCACTATACTCTCTTTCTATGTTACTGTCTATCTAATAATTTAATTTGCCAAACAAATCTACACCTAAATCAGAAACCAATCTTGTGGAACAGTGGGTGACGTCGCAGGAGAGGTTGCTGATGTGGGCTCTGCAGTCAAGGATTTCAAAGCCGGTGACAAAGTTGTATCCGTGCTTTCCATGAAGGTTCACCTCGATTATTTTTTTATTTGTTTCCTCATCCATATATCCAAAAAGTGTAATTACCTTTTTAACGTTTTAACCATATTGCTCATTGACAGAACGGTGGTGGGCTTGCCGAGTATGCTGTAGCCTCATCAAGCCTAACTGTGCACAGGTCGCCTGAAGTATCCGCAGCTGACGGGTCAGGCTTGCCCATAGCTGCATCCACTGCTCTCCAAGTGCTCAAATCTGGCGGAGCCAAGTTTGATGGCACTGGAAAGCCTCTGAATGTACTCATAACTGCAGCATCCGGCGGCGTTGGTTCGTATGCGGTGCAGCTTGCAAAACTTATTGATCTCCATGTCACCGCAACCTGCGGCGCACGAAACATAGAACTTGTGAAGAGCCTAGGCGCTGATGAGGTGCTTGACTACAAGAGCTCAGATGGCGCTAAGCTGAAGAGCCCCTCAGGCAAGAAGTATGATGCCGTGGTACATTGCACAGCTGGTATCGACTGGTCCACATTTGCGCCAAATCTGAGTGATAATGGGAAGGTTATATACATCTCTCCCTCTACTAGTACCTTTCTGAATTATGCTATTAAGAAGCTAACCTTTGCTAAGAAGAAGGTAGTGCCACTGTTTGCTGTGCCGAAGAAGGAAGACTTGGAGTTTCTTGTAGGGTTGGTGAAGGAGGGGAAGCTGAAGACAGTGGTGGACTCCAAGTACCCATTGAGCAAGGCAGAGGAGGCCTGGGCTAAAAGCATAGATGGGCATGCCACTGGTAAGATTATCGTTGAGATTTGAGAAGATGAAATGCTTATCTTTCGTGTGTATGCTTGTTTATATAAAATGATACTTGTAAATGTAATAATGTTTCATTTGTTTGTATGGCATTTGTATGAGCTTATTGTGTGGTGTCGTCAAAATATGTTGCAATGAATACTAATAATATTTTATACGCTGTATCTTTTGGATTTGTTGTAGTTTAGTTATTAATTACTTGTAAAAGACTTCTTGGATCAGGCAGTTGTCGGCCACTTATTTCATTAATGGAGCATTTCAAGACTGTTGGGTTACTGGTCCATTTCTGTCCATAACTTGTTAATTTTTTTAGTGGCTGCTGGAATGCTGAAACACTACTTACACAGATGGCTACTTGAATAAGTACAATGTAGTAACATATAAAAAGTCAAAAAGCAATAACTTGATAAGATGATAACTTTTAAAAGGGCCTGATCCTGTTACAAAAGTCCTAGCATAGTTTGAATGAATCCAATAGTATTTGTAGTCGATTACAAATGAGACCCTTTCTTGGGAGAAGGCTTTGGCTTGATGTCACAAATATACATCATATAGAGCGCATTACATGGTGGGAGTTACAATAATCAACATAAACATATTTGTTTGGTCGACAGGATCATAGTTGATAGACGATGGAGGTCGAAAAGACTGTAGTTGACAGACATTATGTAAAACCCTTAAAAAGCTGATTTTCTTAGTGTTGTTAGTCCGGACGAACTGGCCTTAGTCTAGGACGAACTGAAGAAAATTGTGAAAAATCTGCCTGGATCGTCTGGACGAACCTGTAAGGGTCGGGATGAACTGAACCCGAGAGTTTCGTCTAGGGACGAAATAAATTGGAATTGATTTCGTCTGGACGTTTTGAGTCCAGAGGAGTTCGTCACGGGACGAATGGGAATCGTCTGGGACGATCCTGTTTGATAAATATTCGATTTGAGATATTTTGGAAATATTTTGAGGAGAGGAAAGCAGGATAGAGAAAGAGAAGGAAAGAGAAAGAAGAAGCTTGATTTCGGAGGCCGCGGAGCGCTTTTCGTCCGACGACACAGTTGGAAGATTTGTTTGTCTCGCAGTAAGGACTCCGAATGCTATTTCTGATTTCGAGTTTTGATATTTCTGTGCTCAGTTTTGTGTTTTCGTTACCGAATAACGCGCATAATTTTGTATTGACGAAAGTTTTACCGCACAACTTTTGATATGTTTCTGATATGATATTTTTACACGATTTGAGTATTTTCTGTAAAGTTTCTACCGGTTATTTTGAGTTATGTGCGATTTTTATCGAATAGAAAATTATTAGGATGTTGAAAAATATTGCTTCAGTACAAGTAAAGCTTTGTAATGTTATTTTATTCGATTTTTGGTAATTTGGTAATGTGGTAATTTTTGAAAATTGTGCATTTTGAAACGACGTCTGTCTACTATACGATATTTTAAGGGGTTTTTCTACATTGAGCTAAATTGAATTTATTGATTGCAATACCTTATTGATATGCATACGAATATGAATATATGATTGAATAATTGTTATTGTTACTGAAAGACAAGTAAAGACTGGTTGAACTGTTGGTTGGAGATTGATTTGACCTGTACAGGATGGTGGGCCGACGGGCTTTCCTTTAAAAAAGATTTGACGATATCCTCTATTGATCATTGATACAACGATTGTGAGTCATAAGGAGTTTATGCCGACGGGCGGCCGACGGGCGGCCGACGGGCACAGAGTGACGACTCTTATTGAGCCAACAGATATAACGACGCAATGATACATCGATACCGAAAAACGCCTTAATAGCCTGTGATTGTACTTGTTCAGTAAGACTACTGTACTGAATTGCATGTGTACGGTATTGACCTATTGATCTCATTATGGATTTACTGATATCGATGGATTTGTATTGAAGTTTATTTATTGACGGATTTACGGATTTACTGTTACTGTACGATTTCATTGATATTCGCATTATTTCACTGAGCATTGATATTGATATTGATATGGATATCGATATTGCATTGACTTATTAATATTATGGACATGGATACTATTGATTCATTGATACTATCCCTTCATTGATACACCGTATTGAACTGCTGCATGTGATTCATTGATTAATATGGAATAGATTTTACTGTATTGATTTGATTTCAACCGTTCTTGCGATGTATTGGCTTGATTGTTTATATGATTTCATACCGATTGATGTTATTGACTAGAGATGATTGATTTGATTGATTCTATTGATACGATGTTGACTTAACCGATATTATCGAGACGACGATTTTTCTCTATCGATTTGACTGATCGATTTAACTGAGATTCTTCCGAATATAAATTTTTTCGCTGTTTATGGATTCTTCTGAGATTTGACGTATGTACTGATTTATTGAACTTTATGAATTTCTTCTTACTATTTATCGATTCTTTTACCGATGATTGTGAATTGTATCGATCATGCATTGATTATTGATTTTCGTAGCTGCTGCATAGATTCACTAATCATTTGCAATTGACTGTTATGGATTTGATGGACTGACATGCATATTATTTCAGTACCGTACTTTGATTCAGTTATAGGCTTTGGTGACCTGCTGGGCTTTTTGAAGCTCATTATATGTGGTTAACAATTTCAGGTCAGAACAAGGGAGCAAGAAGTGATGGTTGATCAAGACTGTCGATGAATCCTTTCACTATGGATGCCTGAGGCGTCACACATTAGAGGTTAGAAAGACCGTAGTATGGTGATAGAGGTTGGGAGGACCGTTGTCTGACAACGGAGGTCGGAAGGACAGTAGTCGACGATGAAGGTCGGGAGGACCTTTGTCTGGCAATGGAGGTCAAAAAGACCGTAGTTGACGATGGTGGTCGGAAGAACCATAGTAGGCAGGCGACGGATGTTGGAAAGATCATAGTGGACGATGGAGGCCGGGAGGACATTTGTCTGGCGATGAAGGTCAGAAGGATCGTAGTTGATGATGGAGGTCGGATGGACCATAGTCGGCATGCGATGGAGGTTGAAAAGATCATAATCTAACCATTGAGGTAGGAAGGACTGTAGGTGGCCTGGTGTAAGTTCGGCATAAGTCCGGTGTCATTCGATTGTTTGGCAGAAGTCCGGACGTCAGGTGGTGGTTCGATGGAACTCCAGCATCAGGCGGTGGAATGACAGAACTCTGGCGTCGGTCGGTGGTCTGGCAGTCCGGTTTGCGGTCGAGGAAAAGCGAGGAAACAAGAGTGATCTCTAATCTCTCTCTTGAGTCCTTGCTTTGTGGTTGGGGGGGGGGGGGGGGGGGGTGCCTGGGGAAAGGAAATTCTAGGGTAAATTTGGTCTATTTATAGATTTCCTAGAGTGGCATGTAAATAGGAGGAAAATCAAATGCAAATTGGGAGTGGTTTCAATGGACGGCCGATGTTGACTCCCTTGATCGTGGACCGTCTACTGGGCATTTGAATGTTTTAGTGATGTCGGAATTTTGAGATCTTGGGCTTGTTAGATTTGTCTCGTCAAGCCGCTCGATTCGACTATAAGCATGTCATGTTTGGAAACCGCTTGGTAATCCAAATTGTGGTTTGAACCTTCCAACAACGCTTTGGGTCTTTAATTATCAACCTTTATAACTTTATATATACCTAAGGAATTATATAAAATTAACCATTTGCTCTATTTTTCAAAAAATATCCAACTAGCTAGCCTATATTCTTTTTAATAATCTCCATACAGTACAAAAAAAGTTGATATTCATCTCATGTAAAAAATAGTTCATTAGCATAATGTAAAAAAAATAATTCATTAGCATAGAATTTCATCATTATTCCAACATGGTTCAAACCATAATTAAACAGAGCTAAAACATATTTGAAAAATTTTCATTTGAACAATATTCAAATATTACTTGATCCATGTTTGAACTTCATTCGGAAACATGATCCTACTTTATTCATATCATTTTGTTAAAAGACGTGCTTGAACTATACATAGACTTAGTTTAAACTATGATTCGAACAGGGTTTGAACTTGATTCAAGTAATGATCGATCAACATGGATTGAATGTGTTACAAACATACGTTCGAACTAGATATAGATGAAGAAATATTCAACTATATCGATGTTATCCCTCATGAGTGAAGAAATGAGTCTTTGATCAAACTTCCAATTCTAACGCACTTTTTGATGAATGCCTTCAATGACCAGTAGGACATTCATCATTTGTTTAGTTTTCTTTGAGATAAAGGTCTCCCAATCACCTCTATCTTCCTGGGGTGTTTTTCCTTTCTTATCCTTTGTGCTTTGACATGATACAGAGGAGATAACATTGGTTTTCTCTCTATTGAGATTAACAAGAACACTATTAGAAAGTGTGAGTTCACTATTCTGATAATTACTTTTGATCCAATTTTTGAATATGAAACAGTCTTTGATTGGGTGACTTATGATCATATGCTACATATAGTAATTCAGATCATCAGTCACGCCAGTTTATTTTGGTCGGCGAGATTCTGGCAATTGAAGGCCGATTTTAGTGCTTGTCTGAAAATCTTTCACGTACATTCCTTTTTGAAGGAATACGGCTTGTTAATTTTCTCCTGTAAGGTAGGAGATTTTTGCCTTTATCTTGTTTGCTTCATCATCTTCAGCAGATTCATTGAATCCTTTTTTTTTTCTTATCCAAGGAAGATGGAATGTAGTAATCACCTCGCTTCTTTTTGGATCAAAGGTCTTGATCTATTTTCCTTTCCCTAGCAGATTATTATTATAGTTGAAACTGACACTTCTAGGCTTGAGTAATCTTTCAAATTTGGCTACACGATCCAATAACTCCTGAAATTTATTGATTGTAACCATCACAAGATATAGAGCCATAAGATTATCTATATTCCCCATCAATAGCTCAACAACATGCTTTTCAGTGAGATGTTGTTCACATTTCATGTTGAGATTTCTCCATCTAGTTATGTGGTAACTGATTCCTCTCTTTTCCTTTTCTCAAGAGTAAGGTTACCAATAGTCATATTCTTCGTTGCAATGGCAAATTTTTTAATGAACATCATCTCTAATTCGATGAATGTTTTTACTGAGTCATTAGATAGCTTAGCATACCACTCAAAAGTTGTACATGTTAGGCTGCTAATAAATTGGCGTAGTAATAGAGCATCATTACTGCCCGTATTTCTACAGGTAGCTTTAAATTGTGCCAAAAGCTGACGAGGATTTGCAGTACCATCAAATAAATTGAACTTTGGTACTATGTA